CAGGACTTGGGCACCTGCCTGGATGCAATTTAGCTGTGGCGCGGTGCAGACACCAGCTCAGCGTCTGTCCCTGAGCCCAGAGCTGGGCTGGGCTTCTGAGCACTGCCTGGCACAGCCACACAGTTTTCTTCCTTGACCGTGGCAGAGACCACAAAAGGCTCCATGCTCGTGTCTGTCCTTGGAAAACCCAGTTTGACTCTTGGCAAAAAGTGACCTCCTGAGTACAGCAGGTTCAGCTCTGCTGAACCCCAAATGTGACCTGGCTCACTCCAGACACACAGGGCTCAACAGCCTTGTGTCCTGGGCCCTTGATTGAAAGGCTTGCCTGGCTGACTGACAGTGACCAGGAGTGGCCCCTGGGGCCCCTGAGAATGACTGAGCTATCCCCTCAATAACAAAAATCTTTTGAGCTCTACACTGTTTATAGAATTTGGGGATTGGGGGTACGGTGCCATCCAGCAGGCCAGCCTATACCCGCAGAGTGAGTGTATCAGCAACTGAGGTGCCTTCAGGAGTCTTGAAACCCCAAAATTTCCGTTGTGCCTCTGGCCAGACCGCAACAACTTGGGACCAAATTTCTTAAGAAATGAAAAGCCCAAAAGTTAAGTGTATTGGATAGATACCCACAAACCAATCCCGGCTCAGTTAGACAAGCTCAATAATCTACTTAGCATGTGCCTAAGGGGCAGGCTGGGGGGTGGTGCGAAGAGTCAAAATAATGGTGGGGGGAAGGTGCAATGGTGGTGGGATTGGTGTCTATGCCACAACACACCCCTTGGAGGTGACCAACAGGTCCGAGGGCATGGTGGGTCCGTCAGGGTGAGAGCCGCAGCCACTGGGCTGCGGTCACCGCAGGAGGTGCCATTTAGGCACTGTTGGGGCACTCTGAGCCTGGTGGGGCACATGGTAATGGGGGTGTTGGCCATTGTCAGGGGTCTTCTGACTGAGTGCAGCGAAAAGGAGGGACAGCCCTGGGGGCTACCAGAGGTCCTCGCATAGCCACTTGACGAAGGAGACACTGGCCACATCTGAGAAAGTCAACTTCTGGGGCTCCGCCTTGGATTGGAGACAGAGAAAGGTCCCGGAGACCCCAGAGGCTCCAGAGGATGTGGGGGGCAGGATGTGGGATGTGAGGGGCAGGCCAAAAGGAGCCCAGTTGTGGGGAAGATAAAGCACCTTTTTGTGGAATATAAAGTAACATAATAGGAGACAGCGGGTAGGGTGTTTGTCTTGCAGGTGACATCATATGCTATTCATAATCACTTAATCACTTAATCACTTAACTTCCCGTTAGTCGTTGATTTGCTCGAGCGCGCGCCAGTAACATCTCCATTTGTCCCTGTTGCTTGCTAGTGTAGCCCAATGGCATCTGTTCGCTCCGGGAACATGAAGGGCTTCAAACCGATTGTTCATGATCTTGACGAAGAAGTCTGACCATCTGGTAGGTGGGCGGCCACACGGTCTTTTGACATCCCGTGGAATCCAGTCGGTAACAGCTCTAGTCCAGCGGTCTTCTTTAAATCTCATTACGTGACCAGCCCATCTGATTTTCGACACCTTGGCAAATGAGACAGCGTCCCTGATTCTTGATTGTCGATGGATGTCAGAACTCCGGATTCTTTCTCTCATTTGAGTGAAACGTGATATTCCAAGCATAGCTCTTTCTATTCTTTGGGAGACCTGAATAGCGTTCTCATCCTGTTTGCGTAGGGCCCAGGTCTCTGAGGCATATGTTAATGCAGGAAGAACAGTGGAATCAAAGAGATGTGCCCGGAGCCGGAGGTTCTTCGTCCTCTTAGCTATTTCTTCGACGTTCTTGAAGGCGTTCCAAGCCGCTCTCTTCCTCCTGCGCAGCTCGGGTGCCAGGTCATTTGTCATGTTGACCTCTCGACCTAGGTACACATAGCTGTTGCATTCGGAGATGGTCATTCCGTTGAGAGCGAATGGGGTGTCAGGAACAAGGCTGTTTCTCATGAACATTGTCTTCGTAAGATTCAGCTGTAGTCCTACCTTTCCACACTCACGGTCAAAGTCGGCCAGCATTTGTGCCGCTTGGCTGATGTTTGGTGTTATTAAAACAATGTCATCAGCAAAGCGGAGGTGGTGTAGTTGCCAACCATCTATCTTCACTCCCATTCCTTCCCATTCCAGTCGTCGCATGATGTTCTCAAGGGTGGCACTGAAGACTTTCGGTGAAATGGTATCACCCTGCCGCACCCCTCTCTTGACATCAACGATCACTTCTTTGTAGAATGGTGAGATCCTGGTAGTGATCCGCAATACAGCTCACGGAGGATCCTGATGTATTGGGCTTGAATGCCCTGATTGGCTAGGGCTTCAATGACCGCTTCCGTCTCAACAGAATCAAAGGCCTTCTTTAAATCAATGAACGTTAAACAGAGCGGCATCTTGAACTCCCGAGAAACCTCAATGAGCTTGGTTATCGTGTGGATATGATCGATGGTGCTGAATCCTTTGCGGAACCCGGCTTGCTCGCATGGTTGTCCTTCATCTAGTGTTCTGCCAATCCTATTTAGGATGACTCGAGTGAACAACTTGTAGATGACAGACAATAGGCAGATCGGGCGATAGTTGCCAATGTCATGGATGTCTCCCTTCTTGAAGAGTAGTACGGTCCTGCTGGTTTTCCATTGGGACGGAACCTTGCATTCAGACAGGTAGCGAGTGAAGAGCCGAGCCAGTGTATTGATGAGTACTGACGGCAGGTTTTTCAGGTGTTCAGCTCTGACCTTGTCTGGGCCAGGTGCTGTTTGTTTCTTTACCGAAGAAATGGCGTGTCGGATTTCGGAAGGGAGAACATTGGGAACGACATATCCATCCTGTGGAATTTGGTATGTCGGCAAGTGGACATGGCTGTCGAAGAGATTTGAGTAGAAGTCATGGATAATCTTCTCCATTACCGTTCTGGAGAATGTGATGGATCCATCAGGACGTCGGAGGGCAGTCATCTTGGTCGTGTAGTTGGCGAAGGACAGGCGGGCGTTACGAATACTTTTCCCGGCTTCTGCCGCATCTACCAGTACTTCTGCTCTTCTCTCTTTGAGGTCTTCCTTGATCGCATCTCTGCACTGCTTTGTGAGCTCGGACGTTAGCTTGCGGTTGCCTGAGGCATGCGCCAAACCACGCTGATGAATTAGCTCAACAGTTTTCGAAGATAGGCGATTTTTTGTGGCTATCTCTCTCTTGGCGTTCCTCGCACATTCATGGAGGTGCTGAACCAGTCGATCGTATTCCTCGTCAATGTTGTCAACAATGGCATCTTCCCATGTTGTCGCAATAGTACCAAAGAGTTCCCAGTTGGTGGTCATTCTGGGAGTTCTCTTTTTGAACTTTGCAGCCCTTTCTCCCCGCTCTGTGAAGTAGAATTTTGCACGAAGGAGACAGTGGTCCGATCCCATTCAAAATTTTGGGACAACAGCGACATCGGTCAGGCAAAACCATCGATTGAATATGATGTGGTCTATTTCGTTGTGGAATCGTCCACCGGGAGATTCCCATGTCCATCGTTTAGATTCTGCCTTCTGGAACTGTGAGTTACCATGAATGGTCTTGGTCGACATGATGAACTCAGACAGTCTCTCACCCTGTTCGTTCCATTCTAGGCCATGGGTCCTGATGTGAAGTTCGTCAGCTGATCTTCTCGGTCCTATCTTGGCATTAAAATCACCCACAATGATCTTGTAGAAGGTGTGGTCTTCTTTATAGAACTTCTCTAGCTCCATGTAGAACTTCTCGATTTCTCTTTCATCATAATGAGATGTTGGTGCGTAGACAACGAAGATAGAAACTGCAGGCAGTGAGCCACATCTATTTAAATGTAAACGTCCGATTCGGGTTGTTAGGCATTCTAATGAATCAATGTTCTTGGCCAAGTTTGTGTTGACAAGGACACCGACGCCTCCAACACCTCTTTTATCGCATGTTCCGAGGAACAATTCTTCTCCAGTGTCGAAAACGGCATGGTGAGATTCGTACCTTCTTGGCTTGGTCAGACCAATGATGTCGTACTTGATCATTCGCGCTTGTACCATCAGGTCCTCGATGGATGCATCTGATGCTAGCGTACGTGCATTGAAAGTACACACGATCATTTTTGTCTTCCTTCGTTGTGTCAGCCTAGGTCGACATTCATAATCAACAATAGAAAAAGATAATGTGGCAGAGCCCACAGGGGTCCTGGGAGCTTAGAGGAGTTAGAAAGGAAGGAAGAGGGGACCTGGGGACAGGATTCCAGGGTCCTTGCAGGATTCCAGGGCGGGGGGGGGGAGGTGTGTGCAGCTGTTGTCCGAGCAGCCGACTCACCTGGGGTGACGCTGAGTTTGGTTCCCCGGATGGACTGAATCACCCGTTTCCCGCATCTCTTTGTGTTCAGCGTCACTTGGCAGAAGTACGTGGTCGTGTCCCGCCTCCGCAGGTTCCAGATGAGGAGGGCACCCTGGGTCTGGCCCTGGGTCCAGTCCAGGCGGAGACGGTCCTTGAACTCCTTATGGTCCCAATTCAGAGTCTGGTTGTAGATGAAATCTCCATGTAAGTGCTTCCACCTCCAGCCTATCTTTACCTCAGGATTCTCAGCTAACTCCCAGTTGTGGTGGAAGGAGCAGGGGATGCGGATGGAGCCGCCCTCGAGGGCTTCCAGGTGCTCTTGCTGGTTGACCCCATGGCCAGTGTTGCAGTTTTCAGGGGCAGCTGGTTGGGGAGAAGAGACACAGAAGTGTGAGCCCCATGTCTCTGGACCCATGTCCCTGGGCAGGGCAGGACCGTCCATCTGAGCAGTGTCCTCTGTCCAGACTTAGGGGACAAGGGAAGAGGGGGTGACCCAGCACCAGGGCAGCCCTTTGCTTCTGCCCTACACCCTCAGAGGCACGTCCCCCAGGTGCCAGACACAGCCCTGGGTTGCCCTGTCCAGGCCACTCACTGCCCAGTAGGGAGGCCAGCAGGGCCAGCAGCAGCAGCGGGGCCCGACCCATGCCATGCTGTGCTCATGGTGGGCAGCAGTGGGGCTGCTCTGGGGGGCTGTCGGGGGCTCCTAAACACAGTGGAGGAAGGAGCAGGTGGGGACAGCGCAGGGAGCTGGAGCGTGACCAGCACTTCCTGTGACCAAGGCTACTCTGTTCCTGTATTGCACAGGGCCTCCCCGTGGCCAGTGAGGAGGCCCCACCTGCCTTATGTGTGGGGCAGGGTCCTGACCCAGGTGCTGGGCTCTCTCCCCACTCTCCTGCACCCCTGCTTAGCTGTCCCTGGACAGCCCGAGGGCTGGTGTGTGTCTCTGGCACGTCCCTTGTCTCTGCTTCTTCCTGATCACCTCCTGCCTGAGACAGGGCGACCGCGGGGCCAGAGGAGGCTGTCAGGAGAGACCCGGTGGCCCTGGGCCTCTCTCAGCCTCTGCCTCAGAGCGAGGGGCTGAGAGATGGGGGCTGGCACCTGGCCCCCTCAGCGCCCACTCTGGGGGCTGTGCCCATCGTGCGCAGGCTGAGGCGGTCCAAGGCTGAAGAACTAGACCAAGAGGTGGGCGGCCAGGATTTCATAGAGGAGGTGCTCTCGGCTTCTGGGGTGGCAGCAAACAAAGCGACTTCTCTTCTCCCTGTCCCCAACCCGAGCATCACCTCTCATGTTCCCCCTTGCACCACCAAGTTCTTCTTTTTCTCCCTCACAGGCCTGGGAAAGGAGGTGCAGTATCTTCACAGAGACCATTGTCTGTCAGCCCTTTTAGCTCGGCCCCATCCGGTCGTGGTTGGAGCGAGTCTTATCTCCCCTGGGAAAGTAGTGGCCAGAGACCGGAACTTTCTGGGCTGTGAAAGTTGCTTGAGAGAGTTGGGGAGAGCTGAAAAGCTGGGCAAGGGCAGGTAAAGAACCTGGAGTGACCAGGTCTGCCCTGAGGGTGACACCGGCTTCCCTCCTGCCCGTTCACCAGGGGACAAGGCTTAAACATCTCCTCCCAGCCAGGCTGCCTAGGGAGGGCCCAGACACATCAGGGTCACCACTGCCAACTCCCTCTGGCAGTGCAAAATGTCCCCAAAGCAGCCCTTGGCTGACAGCCCCGAGTAAATGCTGTCAGGTGCTCAGGTCTCCTAATGTGTCTCTCAGAATCAAGGGGCACGTTTCACGCCACTGGCCCAGCTACATCCCCAGAGTGACTGTGAGGGGACATTTCTGTTCAGAAAGAGAGAGTGAATCATGGGGGCACCATCCTCCCTTCCCCAGAAACGAGACTCCTGACCAGCTCATGACTGCGACCCTGCTCACAGAGGGCCTCAGGGAGGAGGTGGAGGTTTGGGCCAAGGGGTGGGGAGGGGCATCCTTTATAAAGTGGGTGGCCAGGGAAAGGGACAGAGCAGTGTTAGATATACAAAATTTATTTCCGTAGGGCATCACTGCTCCCTTTCCTCAGCAATATTTTTTTTCCTCCCCGTTGTCATATTGGGTCATTGGTAATGCTGAGTTGGTCCTGATTTTGGAAGCTCAATACCAGACGTCCCACATATAACGCATTCCCACTGACCTATCTCCCCCCAGGCCTCCCCACTTCATTCTCATCTAGGGGAAGAATTTGCTCCAGGTGAATGAAATAGTCAGTTGCTATGGAAACAGTCTCCTAGTCTGAGGAGAGCCTGCCTGGAAGGAAGTCAGAAAACCACGAGGAAAACGGACCCCAAACAGGGAAGCAACAGAAATAACAGGTTCTGAAAGATAAGAGAACAGATCAGACAGATGGACAGACAGACACCACACCAGAATCTGTGCTGTCAGGAGTGAGTGTGTGCTTAGTTAAAATCTTCTATGGATGCTTTGGGGAATATCCCAGAGATGCAAAAAAGCACAGTAGAAATGACATCTGCATGTGTATGTTTATTACAGCATATATACAATAGCCAGAATCTGGAAAAACCCGAGTGCCCGAGAATAGATGACTGGTTAAAGAAACTTTGGTAGGGGCTGGAGCAATAGCACAGCAGGTAGGGCGTTTTGCCTTGCATGTGGCCGACCCGTGTTTGATTCCCAGCATCCCATATGGTCCCCTGAGCACCGCCAGGAGTAATTCCTGAGTGCAGAGTCAGGAGGACCCCCTGTGCATTGCCGGGTGTGACTCAAAAAATAAAAATAAAAAGAAACTTTGGTATGTCTACACAATGGAATACTATGCAGCTGGTAGAAAAGATGAAACCATGAAATTTGCATATAAGTGAATCAACATAGAGAATATAATACTAAGTGAAATGAGTCACAGAGGGGCAGAAACAGAATGACTGCACCTTTTTGTGGAATATAAAGTAACATAATAGGAGACAGCGGGTAGGGTGTTTGTTTTGCAGGCAACATCATATGCTATTCATAATCAACAATAGAAAACAAATTGTCTAATGCTGCTTTTTCAGCAGATCTGAGTATTGGGGTAAAATACCAAATAATAATGGTGGGTCTGGTGATGAAATACTGAATGTAATCAAAGTAGAGAGAGAGTAGTGTAGAAATCATCTGCCACACAGGTAGGGGGAGGGTGTGGGATGGGGGGTACTCTAGGATTTTTGGTGGTGGAAAATGTGTACTGGTGAAGGGACAGGTGTTTTATGATTGTGTGACCAGGACTTAAACCTGAAATCTTTGTAACTGCTCTCACTGTGATTCAAGAAATAAATTTTTAAAAAAAAAAGAGCAAAACCTAAGGAAAGACTCTAGGACACAGAGAAACCTGGGACACGAGGCCATTCTGATTCCTGGCTGAAGTTGCGGGAGGGCGGGAAGCTGATAGTCCCTTACAGCTGCCAAAGCAACACTGCCCACAAGGCAGCTGATTACCCGGATATGTGTGCAGGAGCAGCGGCCGGGCTGGTCCACCAGGTGTCAGTGGATATAGTTTTGTGAACGCACCGAAGTTTCTATCAGCATTTGAACTCTCTCTCCTTCCCCCCAAGGGCCGGCCCCAGTGAGGGCTCCAGGGAGGCCAGTGCTGGGATTCAGAGACCTTGGGCCAGAGTGATCCTCAGAGCCCTGCTGGCATGTGGCCACCGCCGAGATTCAAGAAACTGGAGCTGGACTCTTGGTGATAGTGCAACAGGAGGGTGTTTGCTTTGCACTCAGCCCACCTGGGTTCGATCCCTGGCATCCCATATGGTCCCTTGAGCACCACCAGGAGTGATCCCTAAGCACGGAACCAGGAGTAGCCTGTGAGTTTTATCAGGTGTGACACAAAAACAACAAAAAAAAAAACCCCAAACCCATATTCAGGAACCTGGTTGGCTTGGGGACAGGCAGTGCTCCCTGGGGACCATGTGCTCTGAGGAGGCTTTGATGCCTGAGGCCCAGGGGGGAGTCCAGGGCTGCCCTGGCACAACTGGAGAGGGCCCGGCTCAGTGCTGGGTCTGTGTCCTTGAAGCCAGCAGACGGGGAAGTGTGTGTGGCTGTGGGGGTCTTGGGTTCCTGAGGGACCATCTGACTACGGGGGGAAATTCTGAGCAGGGTAGGAGGACCTCAGTCTGGCTGCCCAGCATGTAGGGCCCCATCCACTCAGCAGATCCCCAGTTTTGGGGGGCTGAGCCCCAACTTTGCTGTGCTGGGAAGCCTCCTGAAACTTTCTGGTTCTCACAAAAGCAAAACTCCAGGTTGCTTTGTTGGGGAGAAGGGGTCTCACTTCCTTGCCCTTTACACAATTTTCGGCGCCACTCTGATTTTCAGACCCCTCCCACCCCTTCCATCCTCCCTCCAACCCCGATCCCACGTCGCCCAGCACCGTCCTGGGCCTTGGAGGTAGTCTGCAGGGTCACCCGGTTTCCTCCTGGGTCCCCCCACTACCGTTAGTGCTTATCTCCTTTAATTCCGTGTGACTGCTTCCCGTTATAGGGTACAGCTCTCCTTCACTCAGCTCACAGAAGTTTTCCCTTGTGAGCTCTGCTCAAAATTCCACCCCCTCCCCCGCCGGAGAGCTGGTGAGAGAGAGAGAGAGAGAGAGAGAGAGAGAGAGAGAGAGAGAGGGAGGACAGGGCTCGGGCACTGGCCTGGATGCAGTTTAGCCATGGCAACGGTGCAGACCCCAGCTCAGCGTCTGTCCCTGAGCACAGAGCTGGGCCGGGATTCTGAGCACCGCCTGGCACAGCTGCACAGTTTTCTTCCTTGACCATGGCAGAGAGACAACAAAGGGCTCCATGCTTGTGTCTGGCATGTGGAAAACCCAGTTTGATCTTTGGTACCACATGGCCTCCTGAGTACAGCAGGTTCAACTCTGGAGAACCCCAAGTGCGGCCCTGGTGACCCCTGACACACGGGGTTCAAACAACCTTGTGTCCTGGTCCCTTGATTCAAAGACTGGCCTGGCTTACTGACAGTGGCCAGGAGTGGCCCCTGGGGACCCTGAGAAAGACTTGGGAGGCCCCCAAATAACAAAAAATATTTTTAACTCTATGCTGCTTTATAGAATTTGGGACTTAGGGGGTACGGTGCACACAGCAAGTCAGCTTGTACCCATGGGGCGAGTGCATCAGCAGCTGAGATGCCTTCAGGCTTCCTGATACCCCCAAATTGCCACTGAGCCTCTGGCCAGACCCTAACACTTTGGGACCAAGTTTCTGGAGAAATTAAACGGACAAAAGTTAGGTGTGTGGGAGTCACGCCCAGAGCTAGCAAGCTCAATAATCTGCTTAGCATCTGCCAAAGGGGCAGGTTGGGGGTTGGTGGGAAGGGTCAAAGTAATGGTGGTGGGATTGGTGTTGAAATACTGAATGTAAACAATTACTGTGAACAGCTTTATAAAAATTTTTAGAAGTAGAAAAACAAGAATTTGGGGCTTAGAAATCAGAAAGTAGACAAATTGTCCCTATACAATTATGCAGTGAGGTTGGTCTGCAGAGCAAACCCTCTGCAGGTTAAGAATCCATAAGTAAACACCAACTTAGGAGTGACACTGGCTGACAAGATTTCTTTGCTGTGAGGACTTTGCACGGTGAAAGTCAACTGAAAATTACTCTATTTTCCTATATTTATTTTAAAAATGAGTTTGAATATCACTTTAATTCCATGAATTAAGAAATTGTATTTGGGTGAGCATACCTGGCGGTATTCAGGACTTCCTTCTGCTCTGTGCTCAGGAATCCCTCTTGTTGACGCCAGAGACCATATGCGGTAGTAGGGATTGAACCCGGGATGCAAGGCACGGCAAGGCACGACAAGCCACATGCAAGGCAAGCGTCCTATCCACTGACCTATGCACTGTCTCCGGCCCACAAAATTTGGTTTATTGATGACCAAGTTCTTCAGAAAAGTAACTGAAATGGAGAGTGTGAAAAGGAGGAGGCTTTAGGACAAAGGGGCTGGTCCGAGCAGCTGACTCACCTGGGGTGACGCTGAGTTCGGTCCCCTGAATGGACTGAAACTCCCGTGGCCCGCATCTCTTTGTGTTCAGCCACACTCGGCAGAAGTACGTGGTCGCGTCCTTGCTCCGCAGGTTCCGGATGAGGAGGGTGCCCTGGTTCTGGCCCTGTGTCCAGTCCAGGCGGAGACGGTTCTTGAACTCCTCAAGGGTCCAACTCGGAGTCTGGTTGTAGATGAAATCTCCATGGAAGTTCTTCCACCTCCAGGCTATCTTCACCTCAGAATTCTTGGCTAACTCCCAGCTGTGGTGGAAGGAGCAGGGGATGCGGACAGAGCCGCCCTCGGGGGCTGACAGGTGCTTTTGCTGGTCGACCCCAAAGTTTTGATTGCCACAGTTTTCAGGGGTAGCTAATTGGGGAGGAGAGACACAGAAGTTTGAACCCCATGCCCCATGTCCCTGGGCAGTGCAGGACCGTCCATCTGAGCAGTGTCCTCTGTCCAAGCTTAATGGATAGGGATAACCCAGTACCAGGGGAGCTCTTTGCTCCTGGCCATGGGGGCCCTACCCTGGACCCCGTGAGGTGCGTCCCCCAGGTGCCAGCGCCACCCCATAGGGTTCCCCTGTCTGGTCACTCACCGTCCAGCATGGAGGCCAGCAGGGGCAGCAGCAGCAGCAGGGCCGGGCCCATGTCGTGCTCTGCTCAGGGCTTGCGGCAGCGATGCTTCTCTGTGGGCAGCTGAGGGCTTACGAGCACAGTGGAGGGAGGAGCAGGCGGAGGCAGCGCAGGGAACCCCAGCGTGACCAGCGCTTCCTGTGACCAAGGCTGCTCTGTCTGTATTGCACAAGGGCCTCTCTTGGCCAGTGCAGGGTCCCCACTGTCTTAGGTGTGGGGTCGGGTCCTAAGCCGTGTGCTCAACTTTCTCCCCTCTCCCCTGCACCCCTGCTTAGCTGCCCCGGACACCTTGAGGGAGCTCGCCGGTGTGCATTTCTGGCTCTGCCCTTGTCTCTGCTCCTCCCTGGCTATTCCTACCCGGGGATGGAGTGGCTGCAGGGCCTGTCGAAGCTCCCAGGAGGGACATCTTGACCTTGGGCCTCTCTCAGCCCCGCCTCAGAGAGAGGGATATGAGAGATGGGGGCTGGCACCTGGCCACCCTCAGCGCACACTCTGGGGGCTGTGCCCACACATGCCCAGGCTGAGGTGAAGGACTAGGCCAAGGGGCGGGCGGCCATGACTTCACAGAAGAAGTGCTCTCGGCTTCTGCAGTGGCAGCTAACATAGTGACTTCCCTTCTCCCTGTCCCCAACCCCAGCGTGACCTCTCAAGTTCCCCCTTGCACTGCTAAATTCTTCTTTTCCTCTCTCGCAGGTCTGAGAAAGCAGGTGCAGTGTCTTCACAGAGCCCCTTGTCTGTTAGCCCTACACACTTCTTTTTTTTTTTTTTTATTAGTGAAACACCATGAGGTACAGTTGTAGACTTACAAGTTGTTGTGCTTGGGTTTCAGTTATGCAATGATCGAGTACCCATCCCACAACCAGTGCCCATTCTCCACCCCCACCAATCCCAGTATCCCTCCCACCCCCCCATCCCCCATCCCACCCTGCCTCTGTGTCAGGGCACTCCCTTTTGTTCTGTCTCTCCTTTTGGGTGCTGTGGTCTGCAGAAGAGACATTGGGTGGCAATCATGTTCGGTCCGTAGATTACTTTGAGTAGCCCTACACACTTCTTGCCTCATAAAATCATTGTTACTGTCCTCCTGTTGTTCATCGATTTGCTCCAGTGGGCCCAGTATCATCTCCGTTGTGACACTTGTTACTGTGTTTGACATATCAAATACTTAGGTGTGGGGTAGCTTGCCAGGCTTTGCTGTGCAGGCGAGATACTCTCAGTAGCTGCCTCATAAAATATATATATATATATATATATATTACTATTATATATCGTATAGGCTGGAGCAATAGCACAAACGACTGTGTTCTGCATCCCAGACAGAGTGTCAGAACATTTCTTAGGATGAAGAGGAAGGCAGGGAGTGCGGGAGAGGCAGCGCCAGGACACGTGTATGAGGAAGGGGGTGCCTGATGTTCGCGCATCTTTGGGGTCTGAACCCATCCCTGTGTCTCCCCTTCTTTGTCTCTGGGTCAGACTGTCTGGAATAGGATGGACCAGAGACCAAGGGAAGCCCGAAGTGTTTCCTGTAGCCTATGCCCAGGCCTTGGTACGTGGGGGTTGGAAGGAGAAGTGGGCAGGGTGGCCTGGGTGCAGGGCCAGCTGGTTAGGGCCCTTTCTCTTTTGAGCTGCTCATTCCCACAGTGTCCTCTTGCTATGTTCTCTGGAGACGCGCACTTGGCCTTCCAGTGGGGTACTGGGCACCAGGCAGTGGTCCAGGCAGCTGTATCCAGCAGATTCCCTGGCTCCATCTCAGGATCCTGCAGAGGGCCAGGTCGCTGAGGCCTGAGCTGACGGCTCACGGGTTGTGTGGCTTGGAAGAGCTCCGGAGAACCCCCACTTCTTCCATCCTGGCCTCGGGGAGTACAGCCCAGACCACAGGAGACGGCGGGGGCTGCTGATTTGGGTGGCCTGGGGCCAGCCTGGGAAGGACACTTGTTCCCTGGCCTTGTACAAATCTTGGAGGAAGTTGCCAGGGCTGAGGCTCCATCAACTCAGGCGGGGCTGCAGGGCCCCAGTGGACTGTGCTGCGTTTCCTGTGAGGCGCTGGAGGGGCAGAAAAGCCACTGGAGCCCTGGCTGGGTCCTCCCATGCCGGTGACGGTGGGGTTGGGGAGTCCCTCAGTTCAGGGCTCCTGTTGGGAGGGTCTGGGACAGGCAGGGAGGGGCTGCTTCTGGAGCTAGAGAAAGCAATGAAGGGTGGGGGAGACGTCAGTCCGGGGAGCAAGAGAGAAAGGGTCAGACAGGGCGGCTGTCCTCTCCTCTGTCCACAGACAATGTGTCTTGGTGGCCGCTGTCCCCCTCCCAAACCCATGTCTCTACTCTGACCTACCAGAGACCCCCCCAAGACTAGCTGCAAAGCAGCGCCATGAGCCCACGGGGAGGGCCCGAGGCTCCCCCCACCCCCAACCTGCTCTTGTCCTCGCAGCCCATCGGGAGCCCCGCTCTGCAGCCTGAACCCCTGTATCTTTCTCCCCCTCTCTTGGGGGCAGGGGTGAGAGGGGGCCCCCTACCTTTGTCTGGAGTTGTGGCTCTCCTGCCCTGACCAGACCTGAGGAGTGACCTGCCCACTGCTCTCTCTGCCTGGACACCCACGGCTGGATCCTGCCTAGCCCCTGCCTTGTGCCCACACCTTCCCATGAGGAACCTCTCAGAGCCCTTCCTAGGAGGCCACTGTGGTTCCGACTCCCCTCCCCCTCGGCCTCCTTCTTCCCTAGAATATCAGGGCTCCCCTCCCCATAGCCTCCTGGGGCTCCCCTTCCCCCACAGCCTTGGGGGCCCATCTCAGAGGACGCCCACCCGTGCAGGAAGCCTTCACCCGTATGGGGGTAACAGAACCCAGAAGCTTCTCAGCAGCCTCTGAAACCCCCACATTGCCAGGGCTGCGATGCTGCCCCCCCCCCGGGGAACTGAAGGATCTTCCCCCAAACCACATCACAAGGCATGTGGCCTCTCTCACATCCATCTCCAGACTGTGTGTGTGTGTCTGTCGTGTGTGTGTGTGTGTGTGTCTATCTCTGTGTGTCTCTCTGTGTGTATTTGTCTGTGTATCTCTGTGTTTCTGTGTGTATGTCTGTGTATTTCTGTGTGCATCTTTGTGTGTGTATGTGTGTGTGTGTGTCCCCTTGGTGCTCAGGGTTCAACGGACCTTGTGGTTCTGGGATTATGCCTGGCTGACGGCCTCACAGGGAACCACCGGCCCAGCCCTGCCTCTGACTGTCTTCCTGGCACAGGAACTGGAGTCACCTGGTAGAAGGTCGGGGCAGGGGCAGGGCCTGGCATCACCTACCTTGACTTCTCTTCCACACGAGGTAGGAGATCAGCCCCAAAATTGTCATTTTCAATAGTGTGACGATCACCATGATTACAACCATGGTGTCCAGTGTCAGGGGAGAGCTCTGTGTGCTGTTGGTCATATCTAGGCCAGCATCAGGTTGGGCTGAGGAGACACAGGACATCAGCAAATTCTCTTCAGGAGGCCCAGAAGACTCTGATGCCAATATTCCAATACAACTTTCAAGACACTATATTACATGACACAATGCTATAGTGCAGTGGAATTTCCATAAAATATTTTTTCTTTTGTTTTTTTTTCTTTTTATTTGTTTTTGGGTTTTTTTTTTGGGGGGGGGGAGGTTTCCTGGCTTTGCACTACGAAATTGCACCTGGCAGTGTTCTGGGTACTGTATAGGATGCCAGTGATCAAACCTGGGTTCACCAGGTGTAAGGTAGCGCCCTTCCCACAACAATATTGCTCCTGCCCCATCCTTAAAATATCTATCTATAAGCTTTTTTTAGGGGGTGTCACACCCAGCAATACTCAGGGGTTGCTCCAAATCTGCACTCAGGAATCACTCACGTTAGTGCTTGGGGGACCAGCGGGATGCCGGGGATTGAAACCGCGTCTGTCATAGGCAAGGCAAGCGCCCACCCCACGCAGTACCATTACTCCAGGTCCCATAAAAGAATTTTAAAAAGTAAAGTCAGGGGCTGGAGCAATAGCACAGCGGGTAGGACCTTTGCCTTGCATGCAGCCAACCCGAGTTTTATTCCCAGCATCTCACATGGTCCCCTGAGAACCACCAGGTGTAATTCCCGAGTGCAGAACCAGGAGAAACCCCTATGCTTGTCTGGTTGTGACCCAAAAAGCAAAAATCACAAACTAAAACAAAAACAGTAAAGTCAGCATCAAAGAGCAGCTAAGGGCTAGAAAGAGAGACCAGCAGATTAGGCACTTCTTATGCACAGCTGACCCGGTCCAGTCCCCAGCATCAAGAATCATGCCCTGAGCACGACCTGACACAGCCCCACAGTTTTCTTCCTTGACCATGGCAGAGAGAACAGCAAAGGGCTCCATGCTCGAGTCTGGCATGTGGAAAACCCAGTTTGACCCTTGGCAACATGTGACCTCCTGAGTACCACAGGAGGTTCAGCTCTGCAGAACCCCAAGTGCGGCCTGGGTGACCCCCGACACCCCAGAGCTCAAACAGCCTTAAGTTCTGGGTCCTTGATTGAAAGCTGCCCTTGCTGACCAACAGTGTCCAGGAGTGGTCCTTGAGGCCCCTGAGACTGATGGGAGGCACCTCAATAAGAGAAAACCTTTTGAACTCTAAACTGCCTTATAAAATTTGGGGCTTCCTTTTGCTCTGCGCTAAGGGATCAGTCTTGGTGACATCAGAGGTCATATGAGGTAGTAGGGATTGAACCTGGGTCAGCCACTTGCAAGGCAAGCATCCTACCCACTGTCTCCAGCTCCCCAAATTTTGTTTATTGATGTCCAAATTCTTCAGAAATGTAACTGAAATGGAGAATGCGAAAAGAAGGAGGCTTTAGGACAAAGGGGCTGGACCGAACAGCTGACTCACCTGGAGTGATGCTGAGGTTGGTCCCCCGGAACAACTGAAACCTCCTTGGCCCGTAAATCTTTGTTTGCAACGTCACTTGGCAGAAGTACATGGTCGCGTCCCCCCTCAGCAGGTTCCAGATGAGGAGGGCGCCCCGGGTCTGACCCTGTGTCCAGTC